GCTTTCTATATATTGGGGACATACTGTAATTTTTTTTACAACTTTTAAATATTGTTGTGCCTCTGAATTTCAGTAATTTAAAAAAAGAACATTTGAATATTTATATTTCCTCTGTGGTTCCCTCTCTTGGTACATTCTGTGCGTTTTAGAAGAGATACTGATCTCATATTTTCTGCTCTTATGTATAGAAGGACCAACAGTGATCTACTGGAAAAATACTGAGTAGAGTTACCAGCAGCCCAGGTCAATTGGGCTCATATTTCCTGAGAATGAATGACAGTAGAATTACAAACACTGTTTTTCAGATTCAGTGGCACTTGGTGTTCAGAAACAAAATGTATAAAGTAAATGAGAAATATCATAAACCAGTGATGATTCTGCTTTAATATGCTTCTCTGATCCAGATCCTCACTTCAAATTTCACTTACTTACATAATGCTACTTACAATAATAAAAGTCCTAAGGTTCTATGAATATGTTACAGAAATGTTTTATGTGTTTTAAGCAGTATAAAAAAATAAGATTTTTAAACCCAGTGTTTTGAGATGCATTAAAATAGTGCCCGGTAAACTGAAATTATTTTAGTACTGATCTGGACTTTCAAAGAAGTTTAAGTAATGTATCTCCTTCCTTCCTTCCTGAAGTGTATAGTAGGAGTTTTGTTTCTGTGTCTGATGTCAGTACATGACTGACACTTAGTACAGGTTGTGGTGAGTATCATCATAGTAAAATTGAAAAATATAGTGGCAAAGTAATTTACAAAAAGAAAGCAAGATAAAGGAATGCAGCTATTAGAAATGGTGTCATACCTGGCCCCTTTGGCTGTCCTCCACCAGCAGTGGTATGTGTCTGTCTCTTTCTGGAAAGTGCTTTTGTCAGCTTGCAAGGTATTTGGGATATTACACAATTATGGAAGAATAATTGAATGAAAATAAGATGCAAAAAGTTTTTCAGTGCTTTGCAGGTTTTGCTTTGTTTGAGAGGATTGATCTGCACATAGGTTCGTGCATCCCACAAAGAGAGTTGTAAGTCACCTTTTGAAAGTCCCCCAAATGCCCTATCATTCCTTGGGTTCAGATTGTTGCTGTAGTTCTTGACCTGAGTAATGGGTGCCCTTGGAAGAAAGACTGTAGGAACTTGCAACGTTTACATGGGTTTGTTGGAGCAGAAATAAAACCTTTCACCAGAGCCTCAAACTTGCAATCTCAAGACTTCAGGAAGACAGCACATAACTTCATAACTGAAGTGTAACTAGATACTCAGCACTGAGTTCATGGCTGAAGAGTAAATAGGTGCCTAGCATTGGCTTTTTGAACTTTGCAGTAGTTTTTGTTCATCCCAATAATAGTATGGTAAAGAGCTTGAAAAATGTCCAAGTTGGGAGCACTGGGTGTGTTGTCTCAAGCACGGGCAGAAATCAGTATTTTACTATGCCTGATTATTAAGATTCACTGGGCTATTGCATTTATTTATTGTATGTTATTTTCTAGAGCACCTGAAGTAATTTATAAATGCACTTGTTTATAATCCTTAAGACACATGTATTTATTTCACCATATCCTTTGTTCCGTTCAGATTCTCTCTTTTTTAAGTTCTGTTCTGTTTAAAATAAACAGTAGTTAGGATTTTGGGGGGCTGGGGAAGGGAGGGGGGTGAAAAAAGACCCCACCCTCTTCAGTTGGTTTTCTTTTTTAAGCCAAGAGGCTGTTAAAGAAAAGCCAAAGTCCATTTTCCTAGTCAAAAATTATCAGTGTGAAATCTCTCATATTCTGTCTGCTGAAACCTTTGTTGAGTATCTCCTGGGTTCTTCTAATGTGTCTTCAGGAGCTGACTGTCTGCATAGTGCACACTGAGCTATGATCTTAAAATAAGCATGGAGTTAAATGGAATCATAAGCAATACCTGCCTGTTCCAGTTAGTATGAGGGAATATGGACAACTTTCCTGTTCTGTTGTTCACAAAGATGAAATATGTGCTATGAAGAGGATGGGAGGGCTGCAGCACCTCTGCTGTGAAGACAGGCTGAGAGAGTTGAAGCTGTTCAGCCTGGGGAAGAGAAAGCTCTGGGGAGACCTTATAACAGCTGCAAGAGAGCTGGAGAGGCACTTTTTACAAGGGGGAATGGATTTAAGTGGAAAGAGAGTAGATTTAGATTAGTTCCAAAGAATAAATTCTTTCCTGTGAAGATGGTGAGACACTGGAACAGGTTACCCAGAGAAGCTGTGGATGCCCCGTGCCTGGAAGTGTTCCAGGCCAGGTTGGATAGGGCTCTGAGCAAGGTGGTCTTAGTGGGAGGTGTCCCTGTGCATAGGAGGGGGGTTGGAATTAGGTGATCTTTCCTGTCCCTTCCAACCCAAACCATTCTATGATATGAGAGAACACCAGACATCCATAGCTGAAGGATGTGTGGAAAATAATTAAAAGACTGAAGTGCAATTCTTGGGTTCTACCACTTACTGAAATGAGCTTGTCAAGTTTCACAGAGTTTGCATCTGAGACTAAACCAACAGATAGCCTCATTATTTTGCAGATTTACCAGAAATATGTTGATGCCTTTTTTTTTCCTAAAGAGCCGTCCCAACTGAAAAAAATAAAAGCTGCATTAAACATTACATAGATACAACATAGATGTTTATTTCTCCCTTTTTTCTTCTTTTTTTTTTTTTTTTTTTTTTGCATTAAGAGTAAAGAATGCAAGTTTGTACTTCTCAAACAATCTTAAACAAGCAGAATCTTCCACTCATGGTAAAACATATTGCTGCATGCAGAAAAGCCTCTTGACAGCTGTGTTTGGAAATTTTTCTGGTTAACAAAATGCACTCCATCAAAATGTTCTGACAGGTTGTGTTGATATCAGCAGACACTGGGGTGGAGCGCAAGCAGGGACTCTATTACGTTTTCTGCCAATTTTGGTTGATGCCTTGCTGCAGGAACAGCTCAATATTTCCACTTTGAGATTTACTGAGAAACTTAATAGAAAAAACCTAGTAGGCTTTTTCCAGTTGCACCATAATATAGTTACTTTTTAAAAAACTGAATTTTTTTTTTCTAGTGAGCTTTATTTACCAGTAGTGTCAGCTCTTTTCATCTGGGTGATTTAGAAACAAGCTAAAATATTTTCACCTACAAGTCAGCACTTAGAACTTAGGTCAGTGTGCCCCGAAGATGATGCTTGTTCCTGGGTGATTAACCAGTCTGTAGCTGTAAGTTCTTCAGTCTGTAGAGAAGAGGTTTACAGACATGTCATACTCACCTTGATCTTATTTTCTGTAATATCTGATGCTTTTATGTTACCCTTCAGAAAAATTCCAAGCCACAGTAGATTGAAGTACAGACAGCTTGTAAACTAGGTGGGGTTTTCTTTTCACTTTTCTCTTAATCCAATGTAGAAACCACTCTAATCTCTGTAGGATTGCTCTTAAAATGAGATACTCAGATCCCATAAAACTTGTGCTGCTTTGGTCACACAAATACCATATCAAAGTTGGATTGCTTGGGTCTTTGCAATACCCTTATTTCATTGTCTCATTGATTTTTGTCTGCAGCTATGAAGATGAGAAACACTTTTCTCCTCTGGAGTTTTGGGCAATCATTTGCATCAAAGTACTTCCATGTGTCCCAGCCTCTCACACCTCTATGGTCAGCCAGGGGAGCTTCATCTGATCTCTTTCTTTTGTGCTCTGCATTTGTAGCCTTTCCTCTGCTTTTAAAGTTTAATGGCTTGTCTTTATTTTGTGTGTCTGGCAGAAATCTCAAAATAATGTGTTCATACAGCTAGTGGGGAAATTAATTTAATGGAATCTTAATTTCCTTGTATTGGTTAAACTTCAGTTATAGATACTTGACCTCTTGAAGAAGAGATTTTAATATAACTGAGGACTTCCATCATAATGAACTGAAGATTCTTGGGGTTTCTTGGGGTTTATGCTTTGCTTTGGGTTTTTTTTATAATATGAGTCACATTATAATTCAAGGAGAATACCATATTTTCACGGCTGTGCAGCTGCTAACTGATGACTGTAGTGTCTGCTCATGTGTAAAAGTAAAATTAAAATTTTATTTATATATGTATGTGTGCTGTTTAATGCTGTTTACAGCTTGAAAATAAGGAAGACATTCCAGTACCTAATACAAGTATTTATATCTAACATTGATGCTAATAATATGCCAGTCTAATGTGTCATTATTCACCTAGATGCTCTGGAAAGTTAGCTAGCTTTGCTTTAATTTCAGGGTTTTTTTCTGAATATTGCTGCTGGAGATTTCAAGGGGGAAAAGAAAACCACCTTTTTGTAATGAAACTTTAGCAGATTTGTCATCCTGAATCTCAGCCAGCATTAGTTTCTAGTGGGGATTTAGCAATAAATTTGCCTTTCTCTACTCTCAGCACATATCCTGAGATTAATTTTGCTGTGAAGTATCTTTAGGTCTCAATTAAAACTGAAGTTACTCATCCCAGTAAGAATGCCCAGACAGACAATGCCTACATATACTACCCTATTAAATTCTCATGTATTAATAAGAATATACTGCATGCTGTACTTTGTACTTAGTCTCTTCTGTATATATGTGGTATTTTAAGTTAACAATTGCATTGTAGAAGTAAGTTAGAATTGGACAGTGTTGTGTTAAATACAGGGGGAAATAGGTGAAGTATGAGAAAGTTTTCTCACTCAGTGTTTTTCTAGTGTCTTTAAACATGATTCCATGCAATGAAACACTGGTAGAGTGGTAAGTGTAATGGAGCTGTTCATGAGCCTAAAGACTGGGTTGTTGCAAGAAGCAATTTTACAAGCCAAAGCAGAACTGGACTGAAGTAATTCAAGGTCATGTGGTGAAGTCATGGAAGGCTGCTGAAGCATGACTCCTTATTCACATATTAAGTACATTCAAAATTAATTCTTGTCATGATAACATTATATCTACTGCCTCTTTATGGTTTATTAGTATTGCCTTATAGATGCTCATGGTTATTTTCTGTCTTTCTCTTCTCATTTTAGTGGAATAGGTCGAAATTGGCCATGGGCCTCTGGTGGAAGCAGCATTTTGGCAGAATTTGGGACTTTGCATCTGGAGTTTGTACATTTGACCCACCTGTCTGGAAACCCTGTTTTTGCTGAAAAGGTTAGACTGCTCAGTCAAAATCATGTGGTAAAAGATAAGTCACATATTGGAGGACTACTATCTGTGGGGAGTGATTTGGATTTTCCTCAGTTGTAAGCATTTGCCAAATTTTCCCTAGTTACCTTGACATGTTTTTGTATTAAAAAGTAAAAAGTCTCTTCCACAATTATTCTGATGCATCTCCTCGTATATGGACCCATAAAACAGATAATTTCTGTTTATGTTCTAAATTAGTATCACATTGAACAATCAGACTGTAGAGCTTTCTTCAGTTCTTCACCTGAATGTGGTGTAAACAAAAATTGACATTATATTGGGGACAATAATTGATGTCCAGAGAAAGCAAAGCACCGTGGTGATTTCAACAAGTTTACTCTTCAAAATGTTGTATGATACCACTGTTGTCACTGAGGTCAGAAAGCCTTTCCATTGCACTGACCTTTAAGAAATATGATTTGAACTCTCTTAGGGGAAGGAAAAAACAAAACAAAACAGAAAAAGGCAAACAACCTTTGACAAAACAGTTGCACATACTAAATCTCCCAAAATTTGGTAACATTGTCTTCTGGATACTTTTTGTTCAGATGAGCCATGGAAAGCAACTTGTCCTTCCCTCAATTCCCACCTAAACAAGTTTGCTTTGCTTTTTGGTGTATAAATAGCCATTTTGGTGTAAGTCCTGTTCTTTATAATAAACTGAATTATTTATCTTTTTTTTGTACTAGTTAAAACTTACACTTGTTTTGGTTTTGTATTCTTGTTGCAACTGCCCCATGTTAGCCAGAATTTATATTATTGCTGTAATACTGTGATCAATAATGAGACTCCAAATATTTAGCAGTATGTCTAAAAGCAATGGTCAAATCTAAAATTATTACTAGATAAGGACTGAATAGCTTTGCTGCAGTACCATTGTCAGTATTTGAATACATTTTGTGAAGCTCCTAGAAATTTTCAGGTATTTAGGGGTGAATTTAAAGACAGCTTCTCTTAAAGAAATCTGAACTGGGGGGAGGGATAGGGGAGTGGCAGCACTGGGGAAGGAACAGCCAGAAACAAACTTACTACATAAGTTAATTATCTTTTGACATTTATGGTAATTTAGTGTATAACATCTGTTCTACTAAGAGACAATGAAAGTGTGTATCTTAAAAATCCTTGCCTATGGTTCCCTCGCAGAGTGGCATCGTGCTCTAGCTGCAAGATGCTGGAAATCTGTTTATGTAAGCTGTTCTTAAAACCTTTTAGAGATTGCAATTCCAAAGCCCTCTGAGGCAAACCATTCCAGGGCTGGTACACTTGATAAAGAAGAAGAAACACTGGAATAAGCTTTGCATGGAAGTATTCATAGAAGAACTCATTAATTGAGGTCTAGAACTCTCTGCAGCCTGCATTTGGGTAATGAATGGTGTCAAGATGCAGGAGGCAGTTTGTGTACCACAACAAAAATTCTTAATCCTTCTGTGGCTTGGTATAAGCTAATTTATCATCCTTTTCAGCAGCTAGTTCACTGGATCTCTAGGCATTCAGGGTGTTATAATGAAGTTGTCAGTACCTTTTTGTTATGATTTCTGGTCTGCAGTACTCAGGATCCTTATATTCCCCAAGTTGCTACATTTGCTTTTTCTGTGAATGTTTAGAATTCAGTGTAACTCATTTCATGTGCTCTGCAGTGGGTTGTGCTGCTGGATGGCTCCAGCTGCAGAGCATCTGGACTGTAATTGTTTCCCCGAGCATCTCATTTGCAACGAGCTCCTTAGCAGTGCCCACAGAGTGCTCAGGGCTGCCTGGGCTCCTGCTGGGCAAACTGGTTGTATGAAGCTCAGTTCCAGCAATGCTCTCCTTCCCAGGCAAAACTCCTTTTGCAGTTCACTTCCACATCTGAACTAGGCGATACGCTTAATATTTAATACCATTTCTGATTTAGGTATGTGAGGAATATAATGCTGACATAGCTGAGCTTAGTTAAGGCAAATAGCCTCAGTGGATTTCAGTATCCTGTGTAGGAGTGAGATAGGCTGTATGGCAAGTCCTGAACTTCAGAGCTTGCTTCTGTTGTGTTATTTCATTGCTCAAACTCTAGAGGTTTTAAGGAGCTCATTTGCGTGATGATATCAGCTTAGATATACTTTTTAAATACTAATATGATTGCACAGAGGTATTCAAGTATATGTGATGAATAAGACTGGGGGTTGGTTTTTTAGGCATATTTACATTGTAAGACTTTTCTACCAATACTTTTATTTTGTGGGGAAAATGGATCAGTGCTCAGTGTTTTGTATCCTTTCAATAGGTAATGAATATTCGAAAAGTTCTAAGTCGTCTGGATAAACCAGAGGGTCTTTACCCCAACTACCTGAATCCCAGCAGTGGCCAATGGGGCCAGCGTAAGTAGCTCAAGTCTCTGGTACTATGTCCTGTCTATTTGTGTGCTGTCTGCACTCATAAACTTCTTTCAGTCACTGTTACGTGGGTTTTGTATACACATGAAGAATTTTTCTAATGTATAGAAACTCACATTATACCTGAGGTTCTATAAAATGTACAAAATTCTAGAAATATAGAAATAATAATCCTACTTGCTGCATCTTAGATGTACATTTTTGATCTTTCAGTATGGCTTGCACAAGCAGGGAAATGTCTGAATATGTATGATTTTGGAAAGGAATTTGGAGACTACAGAAATCTTTTTCAAAAATCTAAAGTGCTTTCTGAAGTAGGTGTTTAAGGAATCATCAGTTCATCTGAATCAAATTCCATATTTTTAGAGTGGTGTGATTGCACTGAAGAAATAAAAAAGAGTAGTAAGTCTTTCCAGTTAATGTCAGGTGTGATTTCTTTTGAAGTTTAGTTCCAACAACTGAGGAAACAAACTTAGAACTGTTTCATGGCATTAAACCCCTTGGAATCATTACTGAAGACAACAAAATTAGAAGAGAAAGCATATAATAAATATATAAAAATAAAAAGCATAGCTTCCTGTGCCTGCAAATGGTGGACACAGTATTGGTGCAGGTGAGTCCCTAGCATGCTGAAGCAGGAGAGGCAAATTCCATCTTGTTGCATCTCTTCTGTGTCAGTGGCCTCTATTTGCAGACACTGCTTAACAGATGTGATTCCCATAGAGCACATCAGAATGTGAGACTTGAAAGATGTTTTATTTGAGGTTGCATTTCTAGGCTGGTTTCAGTTGATTACAACAGAAGGAAAAAAAACCCAAGCAACCAAGACCCTTAACTGGCATAAGACAGAAGTATTTTCTCTCAAACATCAAGTGAGGAGGGAGGAGGTGTTTCTGAACATCTCTTCTCTAGCAGTGCCATAACTGTGCAGACCACTGCTGGATCTCTGCCATTGTTCCTGGAAATTCGTTTAGCCCTTGTTATTTTGACAGTAAACTGACAGTGATTTGCTGTAGCATGCGTCAATTGGATTTGTCTGCTGCAATAATGTATATAATAACAGGGCTTAATATTGATGAAACTGTGCTTGTGCTATTTAGTTTGCAAATGTCAGAGGTTTCTATGGTAATTTATTTAGGAAACCGTAAAGGTCATTTAAATGCTGCTGTTCAAAGATCAGCCTTCGATCATAGGAAATGTTCCCATTGTTTTAAGAAGCCTCTTTTCCTTTTGGATCATGAACATTTAATTAAATAAATGATGTATTCTTTCCAGAAATTTAACATATCTCATTCAAAAGAGGAGGGAGGGGAAAAAAGCCATTTAAAATCCAGGTTTGATGGTACAATGTATTTGGTAGGCAAAGGGATGGGATACATTCAGAAAACTAAATTATTTTTTGCATGTCACAGGCTAGTGGAGGAAAGAGACACTATTAATAAAGTTTGAATAGAAAAATGTATAGCTTCTACATTTGCATGGCTTTGCAACCTGTCTGGAAGGTGAAAGGAAGCTTTCCATGAAGAGAAGATACAAGGGCATTTAAAATTAAATTCTCTTTGTTCTTTTGAATTCAGCCAACAGGGGCATAACTTTGAAGCTAAGATCAGAGATAGATGTCAGGAAGTAGGAGCTCAGTACCACTAACCCTGCTGCATCTCACTTTATGAGCCTGGATTATACCATGCAGATTTTTTGCTTTTCTCATGCCCAGAATTTTGTGGTATGACTCATGGACTTGCTGCATGACCTGTGTAACCACATCTCCATTGTGGATGTCTCAGGTGGAATTAGCAGATCCCTTCCTTGCTGTAAAATTCACAGTATTATAGAATTTTAAGGGTTGGAATGGACTTTACAGATCATCTTAGTCCCAGTGCCCCCTGCCATGGGCAGAGACACCTCTCCACTAGATCAGGATGCTCAAGGCCTCATCCAACCTGGCTTTGAACACCTCCATGGTTGGGGCATCCACTACTTCCCTGGGCAACCTGTTCCAATGTGTCACAACCCTTACAATAAAAAACTTTTTTCTAGTATCTAGCCTAAATTTCCCCTCCTTCAATTTGAACCCATTACCCCTTTTCCTATCACTGCAGCTCCTAAGAAAGAGTCCCTCTCCAGCTCCCTTGTAGGCCCTTCAGATACTGACAGGCTACTATGAGGTCTCCATTAAACCTTCTCTTCTCCAGGCTGAACAGCCCCAACTTCCTCAGTCTGTCTCCATAGGGGTCATGCTTCAGTCGTCTTACCTACTTCGTGGCCTCCTTTGGACTTGCTCCAACAGTTCCATGTCCTTCTTAAACTGAGGACACCAGAACTGTGTGCAGTGTTCTGGGTGGGGTCTCACAGGAGCAGAGTAGAGGGAAAGAATCACCTCCTTGGACCTGGTGGTCACACTTGTTTTGATGCAGTCCAGGCTTTCTGGGCTGCTAGCACACACTGCTGGCTCAGTGCGAGTTTCTCATCCACCATCACACCCAAGTCTTTCTTCTCATTGCTGGTCTAAATTACTTCCCCACCCAACCTGTAGGTGTGCCTGACCCGGGTGTAGCATGTAAGTTGACAGTTATAAATGAGGAGTCCTGGTAAAGCACCTTGAAATCCTGTCACTGAAGTCTTAATAAATGCCAAATCACTTGATTTTTCCAAGTTTTAAAAAAAAAACCCTCTAGCTAATGTTCTTAGTTTAATGGAGTGTGCAGAAACACTTTACATATATATATATATGTGTGTAGTTGCAGTATTCCATGTGTTTAGGGGATCTATGCCAAAATCATGACAGCCCATTAAAATTTTGCCAAGAATCTTTTAGGCTCTTGGACAGCAAGTGAGTGCAGCCTTGTACAAGCAGCTGACAGCATCACTGACTTTCCCTTCGCTGGTACGACTGATATCAAGTGATCTGACTTGTGTGGTGTTGGTGTTTGCAGAGTCATGTCCTAATTTGTGCAATTGAATAATCACAGCATCTCTAGTAGCAGATTGTTTCACACAGTAAGCACAGGGCAGAATAAAGCAGTGTCACAGCAATAATCCTCTGTAGGTGTGGAGAAGTCTTTTTTTTTCTTTCTAGAACCACTGCTGAGTTCTGAGAGCATTCAGATGTTCAAAAACACAGTATTGTTTTTAAACATATGGCTCAGTGTTTTGAAATACCACTAAATAACCTGAAATTGAACTCCACAGTAAGGAGCTAAAAGCCTTTTTTATGAACTGACTAAAATGGAGAGATAGTGAGTAAAAGAGCAAATAAAAACAATGCTTGCACATTAAGAGGGGAAAGCCTTCATCAAATTCGAGAGAACTTTCTACTTTCCCCCAGGTTTTGAAATAAAAAAGAAGTTAGTTTAACTCATTTTTTATGGGATAAACTGCACAAATTAGAATGAGCACTTAAAAATTTTTTTTTTTGCCACAAACTCATCGGCATGTTGTGGATATTAAATAACTATGGTGCTTTAGATAGATTAAAAAGTTAGCAGTTAAAGAAGTAATTCTCTGTATATACTAGTGAAGTTTTTCCTGAGGTTCCAGGCTTATGTTTATTAAAGATGTTGTAGAGTGAGATCATAAATACACTGTTTCAAACTGTAATTGTATTTTATTGCACAGGCTGAAGATGAAATTGATGTTCAATCTCTTTCTTCCCTTTTAAGATCATGTCTCCATTGGAGGGCTCGGGGATAGCTTCTATGAATACCTGCTAAAGGCATGGCTGATGTCAGACAAGACAGATGAAGATGGCAAGAAAATGTATTATGATGCTGTTCAGGTAAATAAGATATTTAAATCTCCTTTCCATAATAATCTAATCTATAATAATCATAAAGAGACAGGCTCTGGGGACAATGGGAGAGATTTATGTATTTGCCTCCACAGGGTGTTATTTTAAAGAATTTGTTTCTGGTTTAAAAGAACTTCTTCAAATAGAAATGCTAGAGGAATACAGATACTGTGGGAAAGGGGAGAGTCTTGAAGTATGAGTTTATTTTTTTTAACTGCAGTACAGTCAGTTGTCTCTGGAGGAAAAAAGTATAAAATAAGCAACCAAAAATGCATCTACGAGTAGCTCTTGGATAGGTGTTCAATTGTTTTTCCTCAGTCTTCTCTAAACATGTATTACTCTTGTCCTTTTCCCCTATATCCAGAAGGGAATTCCTCTCTTGTGTTTCAGTCTCACATTTCAGCCATCAAAAGTGTTTGATTGTGGTCAATATATCATGGTAGATAATTACAAATGAAAATAGGGTGTTTGTTGCACAATGGCTTTTTGGTACAAGAGCATAGAATTACCATCTTGTGCAAAACAGCCAAATTGGACACAGGAGAAAGCTTTCAAAAACTGAAATTGTTCATACTTACATTTCTATGTGGTATTGTATTTATGATGCTTCTGGTCTGTGGTTTGCTTTGTTATTGATGGTATTTCCTTAATATGCTGTTTTGGAGGAAATAATGGGTTTATGACACCAGATTGAGACTTGAGAAGTATTGAATTTAAATTCATATTTACAGGCTTTCCTTCCAGTTTTGAGCAAATGACCTATTTTCTCAGTTCTTTGCTTTCATATATATAAAAGAAGATAATATTACTTCTTTTTTCCCCCCCGTCCTTTCATCTGTTTTGACTGGAAGCTGTCTAGGGCCAGGACTTTTATCTCTTATTAACTACCTGTATGGACAGTGCCTCTATAGACAAGCCTTCAAGATGCTAAGCAATATCTGCTTATTCTTTCATATCTCTGGAAAGTACTGTCCCTAGGGAAGTCATAAGTCTCCTTTTATTTCTCATACCACAAAAAGTGGTGACATTAAATAATGCAACTCTGTCTTACTGCAACTATCTTTTTTTTTTTTTCTTTAGAGACAAAAGTCACATGTGATGATTTGAGAGAGGGTGTGATCTTTGGTGGTAGTAAATGCAGTGACCAAGTATCCTCTGCTGAGAAAATCTTGCCTTTAATTTTGTAAGTGCAGATTTGGATGCAGCTGGCCTCATTTTCACTGCTAACATGATTTCAGCTTCAGAGCAAAAGGTGGGGTTCAAATTAGGTTTGAGTGCATTTGAGGCTATAACATAAGCCATTGTAATAGCTCAGTCATCAGGTTGGCAGCCAAACAGAGAGAACAAAGTGTCTGATAGGACAGTATCAGTTCCTCTTACCATGGAAGGCATTTTGAAGCACCTCAAAGCTGCTTCTAGCCTTCTCCTTCCATTGATCAAGTTTTTCTTTTAAACACATTCTGACACAGGGTAAGCACTAGTACATAGATGCATATGGTTAAAAAGAGTGGATTTGCTTATACAGCCATTCTGGAAAACACCGCAGGTAGACCATCCCAAATGTGGTGTGACCATCACCTTTATTGGCAGGACCTTGAGTGCACTGCCTCCTGTCCTGCAGGGGAGCAGCAGGGGCACATAGCTGACAGCAGAGTCCAAGAGAGCCCAGTGCCTCAGTGGCCAGTGTGGAGCTGCTTCTGTTAAGGCAGAAGCTTCACCTTCTCCTGATGTGAGCACAGCTGGACTGAAGTGCATTAGGAAATCTCTCTTGCCTTACACCACATGAGTGTGTGTGTATCCCATGCCAACTGGATGTGGCAGCATGCCTGGATCTTCTGAGCCAGCCTGAGCTGCCCAGTGGGTGAAGAGCTGCCTGTTGCTGGCTGGTCATCAGAGAAGAGGGCTAGGAGCACTGAAGTGACCAATGCAGAGTGCAGGAGCATGGCTTTCTTTAAGCTCACACCTTAGCTCTACCAGGATAACAACCTTCACAGGTACAGAAGTTGTTGCAGGTACCTTGCGGTCCCAGCAGGAGAAGTGGTGATGGCCACCACACTATGGGACTGGTTCTTCCTGCTTGGGTTTGAGCTGGAGGAGCAAAATTGCCTGGTCAGTGACAGGGTCTGAGCTCTGCTGTATATGACTATATTTAAAGTTCCTATTTTCTTAATATTTTTGGCCACTACTAGCTCTTGAGCAGTCGAAGCATCATGTCTGACCAGACTGTTAGTGTTTGAGAGGGCCAGATGATCACTGTAGGTATGTGCTAGATTTCATTATGCTGCTGGCTGAATGCTATTTCCTGTGTTTTCTGAGTG